GCTTCATCGGATGCTTCGATGACGTCACTGGCCTACTGCACCGGAAGTGCACAGGAAGACAGGGATGTGCCGTTCATGTTGTAGAGCCGACTTTTTCCGGTCTGAAACCATGCAATATGGAGTTGAAGAGCTATTTGAGGGTGGAGTTTGTCTGCGTGCCAGGTCCGTGTGCTTATTGTAATAGTTATTATTATTTGTTGTTGTTGTTGATGTTGTTGTTTTATTATTGTATTTGTGAGTAATGTTGCTTAGGTTGTCGAGTTTATCATTGTGATTATTACGACTATGGCTGTTGTTGTTGTTGTTGACGATGATGATGACAATAACATTGAATGAAAGGTCAATAAACTTACTTAACAAACTAACAAGCAAACAAACAAACAAGCAAACAAACAAAAACAAAACAAACAAACAAACAAACAAACAAGCAAACAAACAAACAAACAAACAAACAAAAACCAAACAGAACTGAAACTAAATGACGACGACGACGTCGAAGAGGGCTGCAATCTGGAATTTCCCAGCAGGGAAATTCCCATGGCGACCTTGACTCCTACCTTAATGATGACGTCATTATCCTTGACAGGGTCACTCTGTGGCGACGACCAATCACCGTTCAGGATTAAAACAAAACCGGGTCAACGGCTTAATGTTACGATGATTATAATTCTGGAGAGTGACCAATCAGAATTGGCCAATGTAGGTCGGTTCAGGAGGGTTATTAATAGAACAGTTTTGATTGGTCAGAAATTTAACCAACAACGACATGTACAACAACAACAACAACAACATCAACAACAACAACAACAACGTCAACAACAACAACGTCAACAACAACAACAACAACAACAACAACAACACGGTCGCCATGACAACCGCCAGCCAATCAAATCGTTTGGACGTTTTCGTCACCAAACACACTGAAAGTGGCAGACATGATACATTCTTGATTTTATTTACAGGTTAATAGTGACGACGGTGATGATGATGATGACTACGGTGATGGTGACGATAATGATGTCAATAAAGATAATGATGATGATGAGGAGAAGGAGGATGATGGTGGTGGTGGTGGTGGGGTGGGGGTTATGATTATGATGACGCCCGGTGCAACAAGCATTTTCGACTTTGACGATGATACATGCAATCGGAAAATCACAGATATAATTTCTGATAAATAAAAAACTTAAGAGGACGACGGTGGTAATGATGGTGATGACGACGATGATGATGAGGATGATAATGATGAGGATGATGATGACGATGATGACGATGATGATGTCGTAGATGACGTCAATAAAAGAGCCGTCAAAATTTCCGAACCATGAAAACGCAAAAGACATTTAACCGGTCATAAAAACGACAACAAAAGTATAATAATAGTAATAATAATAACAGCAATAATAATAATAATAATAATAATAATAATTATAATAACATAAATACAGCATCAACAAAAGTTACTACATCAATAACAACAACATTATACAGACGTATATACATACGAACATGCATACGAAAGGTCAAGAGTTCATTAACTAGGTCAGGCAGAGTTAAAAAACTGGGTCAGCGCGGGTCGCCATTTCGGGGTCAGATTGCTGGGGTCGAGTTTTGACGGAAACGGAAATTGAAGCATGGGAGGCGATCGGGGTTTTTGAAATTGAGTTATCTGTCACTTAAATGGTGTCTTTGGATGCGTTTTATCCTGGCTGATGCGGTGCCTAATAGTATTGTTGTTGTTGTCATTTTTGTTGTTGTTTGTTATTGTTGTTATTATTATTGAAATTTGCTGTTCGTTTTATCGCTCCCATCATCATGACGTCATCGCATTCATCATTGTAACGTCATGGCCTTCTTCGCCGTGACGTCATCATCATCGGCATCATCATCATCATCATCAGCGGCAGCACCATTGTTGTCATCGCCATAGCAACGAGCATGTAATGGTAAAATATGCGTTTAATTTGTTGATAGCGAGGCGGCAATTGAAAAATAACGACTGCCATAAAGAAAACATCA